TATATATATATATAATGTCCATACATTAGCCGCATCATTGTATAAGCCATGGGATTCAAAGCCTGGGAAATAAGTAGTGGCTTATGGTATATGGAATAAGAGAAGAAAATAAAACCCATCAGAATAAAAGAAAATGATAAAATTATAAGCTGTTTGTAAAAATATGACTAAAACCGGAGGTCTTCAACTCTACAACATGAACGTTGCTGCTAATACATTTTCATTTTCTGCATTTTGTAAAAAAAAAAAAAATATATATATATATAACAACCATCTGAGGAAATTGCCATTTGAAATAAAATGTGAATGATCAGAGAAGCATTTGTCTGCGTGACTGGGTGAACTTCCTCATAGATCACTTTGATGGGGGTTAAGTCTGGCGCAAACTCCTTCAGTTTTAACCGCAGGGTAAGGATTATTCATATTCTGTGAACCCAATAGGACATTTCCCCATCATAAAAGAAGCTCGCTCTGCAGTGGGAACAATACAAGCACTTGACACAAGTGAAATTCTTGTCTTCTGAACTTGGCTCAAAGGGATGCCTCAGGGCTACCCAAGCCAGCTCTTACTCTAATCTTCATCAAAAAGCAAAGTTAACCTGAATCTTAAAGGTAGAGAGGGTGTCTGCCTCATGAACTCCTACGATGTTGCAATGAAAATAATATGTTTGTCAAAGGCTATCTTTTCCTATATTACTTTTAGAAAATGTGGAAATTACAAGTCTATATTAGAAAGCAAAAAGGTTCTAATGAGATAATAGAGAACTATAAAGCTTGGCTATATTTTCTTTTTTTGCTTTTAAAAGAAAGCACATTTTGATGCTATTCAGAATTCATTGAGACATCAGTGGAGAGAAGCTCAAACAGCAAAGCCTTTTTGGGACTATAGGGAGGGAAGGGAAGTTAGAAATTGTCATCATTGTATGTTCCCATATAATGGCAAAATAAGTTATCTGCATTTAACCCAACACACCTGAGATACACCCAGGTGGAGCAGTGTGCAGCTATGTAAGTGCCCAGGGAGAAATTATGGATTGTCTTGCTCAGAGACACTGAGACATGTGGGAATGGCTGGGAGTCGTACCGCGACTTTCTGGTCCCAAGTCGGCTGCCCTACCTCTACCCCATCTTGGCCCCCTCTTGTCTATAGAACTCTTTCTGCAGCATTTTTAATAATTAAAAGCTTTGTGGTAAATTGTTGCAACAAATCCGTAGACTTTTGTTAAGTGTCATTAGAACGACAGTCTGTACACCTCAAGAACAGTCTACATTTAAATGTGTCTCATCCCTCAGAAATGTCTCAGGTCTGTGACAGACAACAAAAGCAACAATAAAAAGCAATTAAAAAAAATAGTGTTATATGATTTAGCAAATCAGTAGGAAATTTAGAGTAATGACAAAAAGTACTTTAGGTGAAGCTAACCCTTTTAGGTCAGTTTTGGAGAGCTTTTCTTGTACAAGAGCAACACTGATAACTGTGGTGTTTTGAGCTGGGATTTGTTTAATCTATGAACAAATCCAAGTTTGGCAACAAGAAGTTTAACAGCTGAAAATTGCTTATCCTAACTTGGCAGCAAAACAGTGAGTGCAGCAAGAAGAACCATTTTCTCAATGTGGATACTCTCCAGCTCCTCCTCAAGGCATTCCGAAACCAGTGAGGATATTCATTGCAACCCCTCCAGCAAGCTCTGGCTCAGCAGGACATGCCAAAAAATTAAATATAAAAAAATATATAATAAAGAGGTTCCCAGAAGGCACTTGTAAAAATACAAATTTGTAATAATAATTTCATCAAATGTCATGTTAATTATGTATGTATGTATGTATGTATGTATGTATGTATGTATGTATAGTATGTATATACAGTATGTACTTGTATGTACAGTATGTATGCACAGTATGTATTGTATGTATGTATGTAAGTATGTACAGTATGTTTGTATGTATGTACTCTATGTATATATGTATGTATGTATGTACAGTATGTATGTACAGGATGGATATATGGATGAATGGATGGAATGACATTATGTTTGTATGTATGTACAGGATGGATGTATGGATGGACAGATGGATGGATGAATAATATACATGTATGTATGTACAGCATGTAAGTAAGTATGCATGTATACATACGTACTATATATGTACAGAATGTATTTGTTTGTACAAGATGGATGGATTGATGGATAGATGGACAATATGTATGTACAGCATGTACAGTATGTATGTATGTATGTATGTATGTATGTATGTATGGATGGATGGATGGATGGATGGATGTACAGTATGTATTGTATGTATGTAGGTACAAGATGAATGGATGGATGCATTGATGTATGTATGTATGTATGTATGGATGGATGGATGGATGGATGTACAGTATGTACTGTATGTATGTACAGTATGTATGTATTTTGTTTTTTATTGTGTTTTTGTATGCCTAAAGCAACACATATAGTTAATAAAAACTTCTGTCACATACATTTAGAAATAAATATTATCTTCCGTATGTTAATGATAAACTGGTGATCAGATTACACCCTTTTCTGACACAGCCCTTATGTTCCGGCAGCAGGAGGTGAACAAAAACTCAAAAGCTTCATCTTTGATGTTGTGATGATGAAACACAGATCCATAGATCGGCGCTGCAGTGGGAGGAAAGGTTGGCGTCTGCAGACAAAATCAGAGAGAATAACTACAGAAAAAAAAACATTATTTCTGACGGCATCACTTTCTTCTTAAAGTGTTTTCTGTTAATGAAAAAAGTTACTGCGATTCACTGGGTTCTGCTCATTACTGGTTATATTAGCAGCCATTAGGAAGTTATGAAATCCTCCTCCAAACACGTCTTGCTGCATTTTCTTTTCTTTTCTATTTGTGGTTGCTCAAGCATCTATGAGATTGTTTTGGAGGTTTAATTGTTTAAAATAAATATTGGCTCGTGGTTTCATTGCATTTTTTTATTTCAGTTTGTTTCCCTAAATGTCAGCTTATCCTAAACATACTCAACCCGTTTGGCTCTTCTTTCTTCTTTTGTAGGCTGTGGCTTTTGTAACTTCTTTTGCTAGATGTCCACTGACGACTATTTTAGTTTTCCTCCACTTTTTTTTCCCATCAAATTTTTCATTATTTATTTCTATTCAGCTTTACTTATATTCATGTTTTTCACTAGTCAAAAGAAGTGCAGACCCTTTTAAATTTTATTTAATTTGTACCTAATGAAAAGAAACTCCTATTTTCTGTTTTCTTTCCAGTTTGCTTCAAGCGTTGAAGGTCCACAAATACTCTTTTTGAAAAGTCATCATATTTTCTCTCTTTTTGTTTCTATTTTTGTTTGTCTCGCTGCAGAAAGCTGACCTGGCAGTTGCTGGCTTCACTATCACCTCTGAGAGAGAGAAGGTGATCGATTTCTCCAAACCGTTCATGACTCTGGGGATCAGCATCCTGTACCGAGTCCATCTGGTAAACTCAGCCACATATTATTGTTTCTTCTTTTCATAATTCAAAAATAACAGTCTGAAACCATGGACAGGAAAAAATAAAAAACTTTCACTAATACGTTTCTCGAGTTTGAAGCAAAATTGAGTAAAAATCTGAATCTGTGTCAAAGCATTTCATAAAAAATAAGTAAATAAAATAAAATTAATACCCATTTTAGAACTATAGGTTCTGCTTCATAAAAATACAAGATGGTGTAGAGCTCCAAGTCAATGTGAATGAAAAATATTAAACCAAACATTAAAAAAAAGCCAGACATTCTTGAAAACAAAATAACTACATAAATTGAATTGCCTGTGAAAATTCAGTGTGAATGCTTATTATAATAATGTATATAGTATATAATATATAGCAATAATTATTGCTGAAGAACTTGCTGAAGACTGCTAAAATTAGCTAAAAGCATGTCGCTGAAATGGAAGAACAAGCCAAAATTAGCAGAAAAAATCAGAAAAAAAAACATATTTGCTGAATTTAGTTTAAAAAAGCAGAAATGAACATTAAAATTAGGAAATTAGCTAAAAAAATACCGTAGAAACACGTTTAGCAGCTGTCCTCATTAGTTCCTGGATTAATACAGACTGTTGTCAAAAGAAAACAGGAATAAATTTTAAATTAAATATAGGTACATTTGCAAATCCTGCATTTTATTTTATTTTTTTTTACATTTTTACACATCTTAACATTTTTAGATTTAGGGTCATGTTTAGTAAAACTACTTGTACAGTATATATATATATATATATATATATATATAATTTGTTTTTTTTTTTGTTTTTTTGATGCAGCACTCTTACACTTGAGCACATGGCTACATGATAACAGTTCAACATTATATATTGCTCTTGAAAGTTAAAGAAAACGTATAAATATTTGTGCAAGTGTACAAAAAGTAAAACCTGCTTTTGAGTGTACCTGAGTGGACTGCAATGCAGCAAATAAGGTTTGAATCAAAGGATGTGGATACAAATCACTCTGGATTTGTCTACAAAGAACCAGCAAGCTGTTTGCTTTGCTGAAATGATGTTAAAAGTTTAATTTATTTCACAGTGTTTCCTGCAGAGTTGACGCAAACTGTTACAAACTGAACAGAAAAGTGTTTGCACCTGTTAATGTTGCCCTACCCCCCACCTCCCAAACCCCGCGGGTGGCTGATGATTTATTGAATTGGTACAGAAAAGGCTGCAGCTGCAGGAGCTACCTGGAGCTTGGCTGCTGGAGGCATCGACTGTTCTCAACGGCTCGGGTCACTCAGTCAAACTGAGTCCCCAAAGAAGCAACAGAAATGTTTCACTGCAAACAGAAACTGGAAGAGATGGTTCAAGGGAGACCAGATCAAGACAAAGCTGACAACACAAATAGACATTTTTTTGTTTGTTTGTTTTATTTATTTAGTGGGAGGGAAAAGATGAACAGAGTGACTGCTTTCAAATATTAGTTTTACAGTTTTCGAGGAAGTATTGCTGAACCTGACTAAATCTCTAATATACTGGGAGTGGTGGCACAGAGGTTAGAGAAGGTGGGCCTGTGATCGGAAGAAGTTGCTGGTTCAACTTCCGGTACTCACAACATCAAAATGTGGGTGAAATAGATGAAGCAAACAAACCTGCCTCCACCCTCATTTGCCCCACTCCAGGCCCTTGGGTGCCCTCGATAGCAGCTCTCTGCTCCACACAGAGGTCTGTGGTAGCTCAGTCTGTGGTTGTGTCAGGAAGAGCATCCAGCGTCACAACAATTGCCAAGTCTTTGTGCGACAGTTCGCTGTGGCGACCCCTACAGAAGGGAGCGGCCCCCCCAAAAAATGTATACATAGTAGTCCCTCGCTACTTCGCGGTTTGTTTTTCACGAACTCGCTCTATCACAGTTTTTCAATGTAAGACTGGACATCACACACACTGATTGACTGATAAGTCGCTGGATCGGCATGGAATATTTTATTTAAAATAAATTATCTTAAATGATTTTGCACCTGCTGCACCTGTGCGCAGCCCACAGCTGTGGGAGAAGCTTCCTCCGGCAGCTGATCAGCTGATCTCTGTTCAGAGCAAAGATGTGGGCGTGGCCAAGAGTGCAGCCAGAGGCAAAGAGCTGAAATCATGACATTCTGTACTCACAACTAGGGACAATTTAGAGCTACCAGTCAGCCTAACGCATGGATTTGGTCTGTGGGAGGAAACCAGAGTACCTGGAGAAAACCCACGCAGCACGGAGAGAGCATGCAAACTCCACCCAGAAAGGTCCCTGGACTGGGATTTGAACCAGGGTAACCTGCTCGCTGAGAGGCACCAGCTCTACCAACTGTGCCACCGTGCTGCACTAAGTGATGCCACCCAACTTAATTCAAGCAGCTCTTATAAAGTCACTGTTGATATAAACTTTAATTCAGTGAATCTTTGATTTTTTGAGGATTCAAAAGGATTTGGTTCTTTACCCTTTACCTCCATGTTTTAACCTTTAAAAACCCACCACCTGCCAAACTGGACAGCTTTTAGCTTTCTGCAAATCAATATTGATGTGTTTGAAAAGTTCCTAATGGTGATCATATTACTCTGACTATCATTTCTCCATCACACACTTTGAATAACAAACTCCAGCACTCTTCTAAACGTATTTTTGACAAATTTCTCAACTTCAGCCTGAGCAGAAATGATCTGTTTAAGGAGACAAAAATACTTCCAAACTCATTCAGCTGTTCTACAAACTCAAGAGTTAAACTTACACACGCGCTAATTCTCTCCCACACAAACGCTGCAGCTTTGTGTAAATGTACCTAAACAATGGAGCAACTATACTTGGTGGTACCAAATGCAGCCTCAGCAATCAGATTAACTCTGCAGGGAATACATCACACCCGTCCTGGCTCAATTACATCGGCTCCCCTTTCTTTACCAGATTTGATTAAACATCGTATTGATTACTTTTAAATCACTACATGGGTCTGATTCTACTTCACTCTTGTCTGCACTTCTTTACACCTCCAAACACTTATTGTGCTCTAGATCCCCTAAATCAGAGAATCAATTGATGAGTCAGTAATTAAACAAAAGACCAAAGTGTCTTGTTTGAGTTTCAAAACTGAAAACAAAGAGTTATTTTTTAATTTTTTTTATGTTGTTAGTGTTGTTTCTTGCATGGTCTGATTGATTTAATTCTAATAAAATGTTTGTTGTTCCAACATTTTCTTTTATTTCTGGACGTCTAAAACACAATCACAGTTTGTTTGTTTGTTTTCTTTTCTTTCTTGCTCTTGGTGAAGGCGGACACTTTTTCTTCCCGCTCCTTCCTCTACTTATGCTCTTTGTCCTGTGAACCTGTCAGAGTATCTCTTTGCATATCTTCCAAATTGTACATTATGGATCTGGTCAGCTGGTCTCTCAACGCAATTGATCAAATTTTCTTGACAAGAAGACAGGGCGAAGGAGAGCCCTCCTGCCCCGACGGGACACGCAGCCAGATACATGAAGGATTCCTAGGGGCAGTAGAAGATCGTGTGTTTGTCCAAATTGTTGGTTGACCTTGGAAAGCTGATTATCTCAAATTCTTCTGGATGTTATGTGAACAACATGCTCTGCCCCCACTTTGTGTTTCGTTGGACGGGCTGTACTGAAATGAAATTTTGCTGTGCTTCAGTGCAATGTCAATACAGGCTGATTCTGATTTTTCTCCTTCCTGACCTTCTTGCTCAACCAGTCTCCGTGACCACCTTTATAAAGAAACCTGGCTGTTTTAAGCTCCTCCCACCTTTCTGCTCACAGTGCTCTTGGGAACAGTTCAACCATCTTTTCAAATTTTTCCCACAGTTTTAGAATTAGGTTCTTTGAGGAATCTTTTGCTTTCCTGAAGAGTCCTAACATGCAGAGTAGGTTATGTGATCTTTAAATGAGTGCCTTTAGTGGCACAGCAATCACTTCAGTTCTTCACGCTCATATCACATTAGAGACTGTCTGAATGATGTTAGAAAATACAGAAATAAATGTGCAAATGACCAATGTCTATGACCATTCTCTTTGAAAATATATATTTAGGTTTTAGATTGAAACAAAAAAGAAAAATAAGCCTCTTATTTGCGATTGTTGAATGAATAAAATGAATAAAAATGGAAAAACAAACGTATGAGGAATTCATTTGGACGTAAAGCTTCAAAATATTGTGCAAAATGAAACGAGCGTGTCTGAAATGACTAAACCTGAGAATCTGATGCAATACAAAACAATAACCCTGCAAGCAGCTTTGTAGAGTTGCCTTAGTCTTTTTTTATTTCTTTTTATGCTTTTAATAAAAGCAGAAAAGCAGGATACATCTGAGAAGTCTGCATCACAAATTATATTGGGTTACTCAAATCAGAGTCTGGCATCAATATGCTTTACAAAAGATGACAAAAAAAAATTAAAAATCAGGTTTTAATGCAGTGAAAAGCAGACGTGGACAGAAAACATGAGTGTGCAACAATCAAATTTAAAGTGTTTAAATTGGGCAGGATTTGTTTTTCCCATGGTTTAAGTTGTGTTTATTTCTTTGTGATGATTACTTTTTAGTTCTTAATACTTGCTCAGTCAGTCTCAGTCCTGTCACACACCCCTACACGTGTTCCATAATACTATTAGGCCAGCTGTCTCCACTCATGTCATGCGTTATCAATGCATACTTATATTTATATCCATTTAAACTCTTCACTCAGCAGTTGTTCATTGACACATCTTCTCTTGACTTTATGTTTTCTCTTTTCTTCAAGTTTTCTTTTGTGTGTTGCCACCACGTCAGCCTTTTAGCTTTCTTTAATAAAGTTTTATTATTTTACCAAGTTCCTGACATGGTCTTTATATATGTTTATAGTCTTCCACAAAACCTGACCACATTACAGATTCACCCTCACTATCTTATGTAGGAGCATCTCTAACTCTTATTCCAATAAATCTTTCATATTTTTCTGCATCTAAACATTATTTATGATCATGCCCAAAGCA